GACAACTGCCAATGGGCAGCGAGTTCGAAGAAAGCTGGCATAGGACGAAAATGGCCACCCAATATGGGGATCTGTTTTAAGCTTACGCTCCGCCCACCATTTCGAGCACGTCGTTTTAACTTTTAACATGCGCGGGTGTTTTCGGGGTTTGTGCAGACTGCAGAGCCATTGGTTGAGACGAGATGGCAGCACCCAATCAGGCTACCAATTAAAATTATGTGCAGTACTCTTTTTATTATGCACGTTCTGGCGGTACTGCAACGAGCAGTGGGTGCGAATTTGACGTAAACAGACTAACGAGTAACGATGTGTCTACCAATGATAGTTTCCGGCAATGCGGATTGGCTGTACTGAGGTACTGAGTTAGCGAATAATGTGACTCCTAGCGCAACACACACGTTCCATGTAATTTACACGCACTCGCACCCCGTAACTCGCACGCTCCGCCCCTCGGTTGCAGATAAGTACTCAGTACTGTATTGTCAAGTCACCACGTAGTGGATGAGATCACCTCATCATCTTGTCACCGTCGCAGGGTTTTGGTTTGGGGCCGCTTTCAGTAAGTGTTAGGAGTCTAGGACATCCGCTTCAAGGTGAAAGTTTACTTTCTATGGCAGTTACTTTTGGTAACGAACATCACTGATGCTGTGAGTCAGTCGAGGAATCCGACTTATTCACTGTCAGCAAAGACAACAAATATCTCGAGATCTGAATGTTGAACAGTACAATATCTCCTGCTTCCAGAGTTCCCAGTTTCTGAGGTAAGATTACTGATGCGTGGATAATATCGGGCAAGCACTGTGCTAAATTGTTGCACTGCTGGCGTGCTCGTTGTCCACTGAATGCAGTTCTCGATGCTGTCTCGTAATGCTGTAGGTATTCCAATGTTCTGCCTCTCCAAAACGAGCTCTTATCTCTTCTCTTGCATTGTGAGTGTCATCGGCAGCCATGTTTGTGCCACGGACCCGTAACATCACCGTAGTGGGAGACGGTAACGTCCTGCTGCACGGCCGCGTGGTGGACGTGGCGAACAACGGGCTCTACATTGATCTGCTGTGCCCAGGTCGTCGACGCGAGTTCTTTCCATTCAACCATGTCTTCCTATCAAAATCCATGGAATTCGGGGACGTGCTATAGAACTTCATCTGGAGCGAGGATTCATGGGAGACGATAACGATAACCACGCCACTGTTGACGCTACTGGTGCCTCGGAGTCATGGAAATTAAAAGCCCGTCAACCTCAACCCCCGGAAACGGAAACTCTATTTCGAAAGTCCCAAAAGGCCTGGGACTTGCCGTTATGCAACGTGTCTCTTGCGGCCCTCCTGGAGGTATTTCAAGGAGACGAAATCAACACTGCGCGCCTGCTTGCCCAGTCTAGACCAGAAGCTGGAATTTGGTTGAACGCCTTGCCGTCCTCTCACATCGGTAATCTACTGGGCGACGACGAACTGAAGATCAGCATCGGCCTCCGACTCGGCGCCACGATCTGCGAACCGCACGACTGCGTCAAATGCCACAAACCCGTTGGTGGTTACGGACACCAGGGGTTATCGTGTGCTTTCTCCGCTGGACGGCATCCGCGCCACGGCGGGTTAAATAGCATCATTTGTAGGGCCTTTGTATCCGCTGGTGTGCCTGCAAAACTGGAGCCGCGCGGCACCTCTCACACAAACGAACGCCGCCCGGATGGTTGCACGACATTTGCCTGGAAGCGCGGATTGTGTCTTGCATGGGACGTGACATGTGTAGACACGGTTGCGCTGTCGCATGTTAAAGCCACTTCCACCACAGCGGGAGCGGCCGCTGTGCAAGCAGAGGGAAAGAAATCAGGACTATATTTCTATCTGACCGGCCGCTACCTATTCGTCCCGATCGCTTTCGAAACACTGGGCCCGTGGGGACCATCAGCGATCGCCATCATCAAAGAGCTGGGAAAAAGACTACAGCAGCACACCGGGGAAGCACGCTCACACGAATTTCTGCGGCAGCGTTTGTCCATCGAAATTCAACGGGGAAATGCGGCTTCGGTGCTGGGCACGATGGAAGGGCTGGAGAAGCTGAACGAAATTTTTCTGTTATAGTTCAGTGTTTTTCTTTTTATGTTTATGTATTGCGTTTTTGATTTGACCAATAAAGTGTGATATCAGACGATCCCCATGGAGGTGCTGCGCCGTCAGTATCCCGGTGGAGCGTGGCGCTGGTGGCCCGGTACCATGCTGGATCCGTTGTCTCATTCTCCCTCATTATTTACGACGGATTACGCCGTGGTGGCCATCGTCCAGGGACGGGACGACCGCGGCGCCATCTGGACGGACTTTGTCCCCAGGGACCGCCTTCGCCATCCCGTGCCAAACGACTGCTCGAAGCAAGATGGTGTGGAACCAGAGATGGCGTCAGTGGTGAAGCTGCTGCCAATTGCACCGGGGCGCTTTGTCAAGCGCAGGATGCCCCTGCCCACCGAGTGTCGTGCGGCGTCACCAGCACAAGTGCTGCAGGTGATGAAGGAGCTGCAGGCTAAACGGCGGTCTTCCAAAGGACAGGTGGTCTGCGTCAATGTCGCAGATGAGCAGGTGCATTTCATTGTGCAGCTGAACGGTGACGTTTGCTTTCCGCTGCGGCAGGTCGAAGACAAGGCACAGGTACGCTAATTCGTCAATCGTCACTGTCTCCTGTAGTCGGATATCTACATTCCATGGAGATTTCAAGTGTCCGTTTGTTTTACTCCGGTTTTGGGGAATCGGTGTTGTTCATTGTTACATGAAATTGTTCGGGCGTTGCATAAGGCGCTGGTTGGTCGTGTTCCGAAGATCCTGCGTGGGATAAAGACGCCGGTAGAAACTTTGAATATCTGCGAAACGACGGATGAACCGCTTTCGCTGGGCGTGCATGAGTGGCTGCAGGTGTTCGCCCACTTGGACACGCTGACACAGACCAAGCTGCGCGCGGTGTGTTCGGCGTGGGACGCTATTCTGGACTTGCCAATCTTGACGGCTCACATAATCTTCGACACGAGCGCTGCTCGCAGCCCTTTGAGTAATCTGCATTATATTCTCATGGCACCCCTTTTCAAATGCCTGCACTCGTCCAGCCATCATGTTATTCTACACGATCGCGACCAATGCATCGACATGACAAACTTCTTGATGATGTTGGATATTATTCACTACATGGCGCGGACTGACCACGGAATCCGCTTGACGGCGCTGTATGTGGTTGGCGTGACTCACTTATCGTCATTTGTCTCCATCAATCTTGATTACTGCGAGGTGCATGTTCCCAACGATCTGAATGCACTTGAGGTTTCGTTCCCGGGCCACCTCGATGCTCTCGTTGTGTCAAGTCGCGATCTGCCGTGTGCTGCCATTCATCTGGTACGGTGCCGGGTGTCTTTTCGCTATTGTCTGAATGGTCTACTGCCTTCTTGGGACGGTTCTTGTGACGCTGGTCCGAAGCTGCATTTCGATTTGGTCAAGACGCGTCTACCACTAAACGGAGATGTGGCGCTGACGGTGTGGAATGCGTTGGAGATGGCGCTACCAGTTCCCATCGACGACGGCGTGCGGGCTCAGTCGGAGTGGCTGACGGCGATCGCGGCGGAAGAAAGCCAGGAGCTGTTGCGCGTGGCAGTTTGTAAAGTAAGCGAATCTTATGAATATTACGAGAATTAGAATCAGCCGTAAATCATTAGGGATTGATTCAGTTTCTGATCAAGTGCATTCTGATTGGTAGCTGTTATGCCGAACCTAGACCGCGGATCCGCGTTCGTCTGTGCATTACCGCGGGAAGATGTGGTGCGCGGATGGACTGCAGGATCTGCGCTGGGAGCGACTGTCTCGCATTGCTTTGAGCGTTCTGATGAACCTGGGGTGCCTTGAAGGATCCTGCGAGTGGTCGGATGACTCGGATTAGTTTATTCAGATTCAGCTTATTAAGAAGCGATGTCTTGCAGTTCCAGTACAGTCACTATCTTGTAGCTCGTTTTTTGTGTTGCTTGTGGACGTTGTGACACTGGAAGTCTTTGGCGTTCGACAAATTCCTGCTTCTGGTTCTTCTTTTGCGAAAACATTTTGATAGTAACCAACACAATTACGAATTGTCTGGTGGTGTTTCCATTTGGAGCCGGGTGCAATTTCTGTTGGAAAATAAACGTTTCCGTTGTAATTTCCGGAATGTTTTTTCCTCCATAACTTCCCGTCCGAATGTTGCGCTCGCTGACGGGTCTTTGTGCGCCAGTGTATAGAAATTATTCGAGTCCAAAAATTATTCCTCGGCTTACAGCAACGATAGAAAAAGCGCGAAAGCGAAAGAAAGTTAACCATGATTGCACGTTTGGTACCATGTACGCATTGTACGGTGTACCAGCTGCAGTTCATGACTGCAGCACTATAGCAGCAGTGCATGACACGTGTTCATTTCTTCGATCCGCACGCATAGGTGCTGCAACAAAACAACCGAATTCCTGCGCTAGTACCATGCAAAACTTTAACAAATCTAAGGATCCAAACTGTAAAGATTAAAAACCGTATTAATTACAAGGATCAAAAGCCTGGCAGTTATAGACCGATAACTGCTTTCAGGTTACAACAACTCAGACAGCAGTGGCCAGTGAGGCGATGTTCAGACACTTCGTACAATACTTTTTTCAACTAAACCGCTTTATGCTTCTTGGCCTCTGTGTTTCAATCATTACCTGAACAGGTTTACCAACACAATCACATTTGGACTTACGTGCCAACGCGGCATATGCAAGCGGATACTGCCAGTCAGCAGAATCAAATTGGCCTTCAGCAGAATTCACGCTTGAATACAGTACTATAAGTGATGTTTCGCTGATCTGGCCTGTTAGTTGTGGGTTTTCGCAGTCACTACGGCAAGCCTTACTTCCAGAACTCTTCTGCACTTGTGCGTTAACCGACAAACTGCAGGTGCTAGTGCCTCTCCCTACGAATTGTCGTACGGCTAATGTTCTGCCTCCTAGCAAGACGTCCAACATAGGAATGCACCTGTACAAACGAGCGGTGTATGCGTGGAACGCTGTAGATGTGGAGATTAACGGACAACTGCAGCACGGCTACGTCATCGGCTTGAAAGAATACGACAACGATCCCCCGTACCTGATGATCGATTTCAGATGGCCAGTCCAGCAGGTGGTTCTGGTTCCCTACGGGAGGATCTGGAGCTGCTCCACCACTCAGTCGAGTAGCCCCGGCACGGGAGCCGATGTGGAGGTGCTGCTGCGTGACGGCCAGAACAACCTGTGGAAATGGTACCCCGGGAGAATGCTGATTCCGTGCTTCCAAGAGCTGGATAAGGTGGCGTTGGTGGAGGTGATGATAGGCGGGCAGTGTCGTCGCAAACTAATTCCCGGCCAACAAATTCGGGTTTGTTCGGGAGACGGTATCAAGCCAGGACTTCTTTCAGCGGGACATTTCATCAAGCAGATGTGCAGTGTACCGAATGGCTACTGGATTATGAAACCGTCCTGGTCGGCATGGCTGCTACGACGAGTTGAGCGAGAGCACAATCTGCGATTTTTTAAAATTCTCGGCCGGATGATGCACTATGTTCGGGGTAGCCAGGGGCCGTCTTTGACGGATGAACATCTGGTACGTCATTGTTTGTGATCGACTGTTTCTACAACTTTAAAGTTTATCTTCTTATCGCATAATTGTAGTAATAGGCTTTCCACTTTTCCAACATAGGCGGTTGTGTTCGAAAGAGAGAGAAAGTCTAGAACAGCCCGTTCCTACCTTTTGCGTTCTGCCGACAACGGCGAGCTGGATGGCGAACCCAAGCCACAGGAATCGTCGAGTGTCGGTGAAGGTGCTTTGGCACTGCCTTTGCCCGTGTTGAAGAAGATCTTCTACTCACTGGACACCGTTGAGCGACAGGGCTGCCGACGCACCTGTCAACTGTGGGAGCCATTCTCACCTCGGCGGAGTTATGCAGCGAGGTTCGTGTGTCGCGACCAGATCCTACCTCTCCCTGTCCAGGAACGCGGGATCGTATTTACGCCACGTATGCCTGCATCTTCAAGCACATCACGTCCGCCATCCGCACCGTCGGTATACGTTACGCGGACACGTCCTACTTTGATCGCCCCGCCGCGGAATGTGCCGATGAAACGCTGGATATAATTACCAAAGTTCTGGGAGACGCTGGACTGCGCATTCACCGTTTGATCATGTTCCAGCAGTTGATCGAGATCGCACCGTCGGTATATCCTGGCCAATTGAAACTGAGCCAGCTTTCCGCCATGATAGCCGCGCAGCTGTCCAAACTCGCACCATTCTGCGATCGTGTGATCTGGAAAGACTATGTCGTCACAATGTTATCCAAAAAGGATAACTGCCGTCTGATGGAATTTGACATTCCCGCTGCTGTCTTCTCGCCGGGACATGTCGGTGAGGCGCACATTGTCGAACTGTTGGAGCAGCACCTGTGCTGGGAGGGGCCGCCGTTGGATGTGCATTGCCCATTTCATGGCCAACGGAATTGACAACGAAGCGGCGGCCCGGAAAGTGGCGCAGGTATGTGCATCAGACTACGCATCGTGTTGACATGTGTTTTACGGTAGAAGCAGCTTGCTAGCAGTGGTTGCTGATTCTCACAGACTCACACCAGATGCGACTTTCATTCTTTTCTGATTTTGTAAAACGGTTTTCCGTGATAAAAATTTCTGGAATATTTTGTCTAATAGCGCTGGTGTTTTCTTTTGTCTCCTGGCGTACAGCTTTGTGTAACCCGCTGAAATAATTTTGCAGATTCTAGAGGACTACCAGTACTGTGATCCGCGTCCCTCCTCGCAGTTTCGGGGACGTCAATGGAGTGCAAAGAATCTAACGGGCGTGGACGTTGGAAAATTGAACCGATTCTGCCTGCGGGCCTTGTCGCATTACATGTCCACCATCCACGAATGATAATTCCCATTGGGAGCGTCCAACGATACCTGCGCCGATTGGCCTGAGTAGGCAGACGTGAAATTTTCGGGCGTGGACCTGCGTTGATCTACTTTTACGCGTGTTTAAGCCAGGGTTTGTCCTACCCAGCCACTTAAGGATATCCAATGGCACAGTTATTAATAACTTCTTTAGATATTTGAGACTAATCGTTGTGCTTTACCATGTATCAGTTGGTAAATAACAGGCAAGGTAGTAACTGTTCGTTCTAACATTTGTTATGCAATCCATGCTAAACTCGCCTGCAAATGCTGATCTAACTGCAGTATGTAGAATTTCTTCTCACAAAACACTCGCAGCACGCCACGCGATGAGAAAGATGGTCTACTTACAGCGTTCACAGTTGTACTCCAAATCTTATCGAAAATCTTGCTCAGTAGTCAGTATAGATAGATACCGGGATCAGGGACGGCCAATAATTTAGTCAGGACATCCAACATTGTTGCTCTGACGCTGCATGTGCACATCATGGCCACTGGCGTGCGGGGGTCGCTCGTCACGGAACCTCACGGAAACGCTCTGTGATGGGGTACAGAAAGTCGTATTTTCTCCGCTTAAGGAAAGAGACCCTTGATTTCAGCGGCGTAGATTGGCACAGCCGGCAACGCACTTGACGATTGTTTCAATAAACGACCAGTACATACCGAGAATACACCAAATACTTCAGTATGGAGACTGCTAGTTTGACTTTTCTCAAGAACCGATCACTTTTAAATTATGCACAGGTATGTACATCTTATAATAGCCCTGCAGGCTACCAACGATATTATTTGCTTCGAAAAAGATTGGCTGGTAGAGCGGGATGTCGTGGCCTTAACATAATGGATGTTGGGAAGGGCTATTGCGGCGAAACGCGCATTTCTCTAATTGATCTAACTGGTAGGCTCAGGAAAATAATTTTCATTAGCAAGCCCATAATATGCTTATACCATGTCGATAGTAACCTTCGTTGTGCAGACGTTCCAATCATCAAGATTATTATTAAAATGGTTTTTCAAGTCTGTCAGTTCTCATTATTATTTTCCTGTATAATTATTAACCATATGTGATTATGCATGGTACATTATATACTCAATTATTTCTGCATATGCGAATGAATTCCAGTCACTATTCGCCTTTTTATTCGCGTCGTGCCGTAGTTATTATAAACTAGTACGTTTAATTGGTTTCCTTCGTGTTCAACAACAGTAACTACATACTACGGTTACACATTCCAAGAAAGTTGTTATGGTTTGAATGTCGTGTGTACATGGTTACGATAAAATCATTATAACATAAAATATATCAATCATCATAATCATTATAACATAAAACATATAGATCATTATAACATCAATTACATATCTCTGTATATCCATCAAAAATCCATATGCCCGTGGAATAGAGCGATAGAGCGAATCTCATTGCGACAAGAACATTAATTTTATGAAGAAAAATAAGCAAAAACCCATAAAACCGCGACAGAAACCACAAAGCATAAAGCTACTCCAGTGCATCGTGCATCGTATCGCCATATTCATCCTGCCACACCACCTCTTCGTATCCCGTCCACCCGTCCGCCCACAGTACCGTCCCCGTGCACACCCCCTGCGTCCCGGCCTGCCCGCTGCCCGCAGTCACTGGTGGCACGTTCCGCACTGCCCTCTTCCCAGCCGCCCGACATCTCTGACGCACGCAACAAACACTCGGCATTCTGAACACCGCTGGCCGTGCCTGAGACGGTCTGCGGCCCAAATTCGTCAACGCGTGCAGCAACGATCCACCGGGCGATGTCACGGCGATCTGGTGGCGGGAGCGATGCTTCCACTGCCTCCGATTCGGGAAAGCCGGCAAGGGCGGCTTCATGACTGCTGCGGCATGGCAACTGTAAACATTTCCGAAGACATGTGACAAATTTAAGTTTGTGGTTAATGTGAGCGTCGTTGGGACCCTGGACTATCTAGCTACACTTTCTGGTGGAATGTGTGCGGTCTAAAAATGCCCAGTAATCTTTACAGTGAGCATCAAAATGCCGCTAAAATAATATTGATTTTTCCTGTGTTTTCATTACTTCCTTATTTTTTACACAGATGATTCTGCTTATTCAGGCATTTCGCTAGATTTATCCATACGATCAACTGCGACTGGCCAGCACAAATCAAATGAATTTACCAACGCGACTAGTTGAGAGCAGTTCAGAACAGGAAGATCAAGCGATTTCCGTACTTTCTGAGCATTATCTTAAAGAAGACGATACTTTTCCATGTTACGAAATCCTGGTTCCTTAAAAATTAAGGAAAGGATTAAATTATTTAATTAAAATATTTTCGATATACATAACTTACTTCTATAAAACACACAAGCACAGAGTATTTTGACATTACTTTTTCGTTTTTCTACACTGGCTTTATAAGAGGCGATACATTTTTAAGCTTTCACAAGTACGGTAAAACATGAATTAACGGATACTTTCTCAGTTGACAGCACCAGTGAGATCAGAAGCAATCGTTTCTGGCGAAGGCGTCGTCGATCGCGGGGCGTTGCAATTCTGCGCCTGGGTGCAACGGGACTTAAAGTGCGCTTGCAAAGCCGCGCGCCCTTCGGAGGCCGTATCCGTTACGGGGACCGACAATCCGTTCAAAACACCCACGACACTCCATGAAGCCGGCGTTGTGGCTCCGACTGGCAGTCCATTGTCGGGGAACGGTTCCGGGGAGAAAGCTCGGCAGCCCACCTTTGGACTCACCGACGGGTGAATTGCGCGGCGTTGTGGCAGCTCCCGGCGCTGCTGTTTGCCCTTTTGGCACTGTAACGCTATTTTGTGCGGCAGCAGTGTTGCTGCTGCTAGCGGCATCCGGCGGTCCAGTTCCGGCGGCGTCGTACTCGCCACTACCCGTGGAAAACGTGCCACACTCTAAACACGTGGTCATCGTTGCGTACGAGACACAAACGACAACAGTACCAAGCTGCACAGTACCACCATACACCAGGCGTGTAAACATTTTAACAACTTGCAAATCGTAGGTTCGTAAGACGGCTACGTAATGGACGTTAAAAGAACAAGTCGAACTTAAGCTCCTCTACTTAAGATGTAAGCGTACGAGTATATTTGCTAATGCCATGAAGCACAAACACTGGAAATGCACGTAATCTTACCCTTTGCATCCTCAAAGGCAGCATCCTCACTGTACGTCATGTAATTACCTTAAAAATAAACCCAATATGTCATCCATAATCACGACAAATAAAACGCTTTGATAAAGAACTCTTCAGTATTGGCCGCTCGCAACCTTCTCGCTCTTCCGAGTCGCGCTGCGCTGATTCGTCGCCATTGGCTGCCACCCGTCCTGCTGGGGGTGTGATGGCTTCCTCGTTGGTTGAATGCTGCGGCGCCGTGCCGGCAGCGTCTGGGGATTCATGGGTCGGCGACACCAACTGGCCACGTTTCGGGGCTGGACTTTGCCTCGTCCGACTCACTATCGGACACATCAGGCAGGTATTTCCTGGGTGGTACACCTCCAACCAGGCCGTAGTAGCCCGTAAATAAAACTCATCAACTTCTGCCTTTCTCCGCTTGTACGCTTCCGCGACCTCGTGGCCCTCCACTAGTAATAAAACTCATTAAGATTACCGTTTTTCGTCAAAACGTAATTCTGTCTGTAGTATATTAGAAGTGCTCAAATTTGCTTTATGTTGGGTTAAATTACTGAGAGTTTCTGGAGAAAATCATTGTGAGGCGTTATATTCTCGACGTGACAGTGGATTTCCTCCAGGACAAATATTAGAAACGCCTTGTTATCACCTTTTCCGACTTGCCCCCAGTGCCCCCAGTACACCCGGTACTGGGGGCACTTTCGGGGCCATCGGCAGAGAAGGTAATCCCGCATATAACGCGGGTTATCCTTCCAGTGTTTGCACGGATCTTGCACGTTTCCGGTGATGCAGCCGAGCATGTGCGCATCGCAGTAGTCTTTCCTCCAACGCTGGATTTCCATACTCTTACAGTATGGGCAGAAGTAGTACTTTTTCCCTGGGATAATAGCGCGCTTTTTCAACGCCGCTGGGGTGCGCTGCGGAGCCTACAAGAGAACCGTGTTCGCGTCTACTTAACAAAGAGACCACACTCTGAACAACGCAAAATTTCGGTCATGTAATCATGTTTCCAGTGTGCCTTCTGGGCATACGACGCTATTTGTTTT